TTTTCTTTTTTTTTTTTTTTTTTTTTTTAGTTGAGAAGAATTTTCGGTTGATTTATTGTTAATCTTTGTTCACATGGGGTAATAATGATTCTATCTTTATGCTATCTTTTTTGGTTGTAAAGTTGGACTGGAGGCAATGTTGTTAATCCTTTTGGAAGTCTTGTTTTCCTGCAGGGTTCGCATGGTTCTGGTTCCAACAATAAAACAGAGAGTGTTGATCCTTATTTTGTACGCAGGTGGGCACCTAAGGTAAATTCAATATGCGCACACACCATATATGGGTGATGCTGAAGTTTAAACTGTATCTAATGCTTGTTAGTTGTTATCAATGTTCTTCACACTATATACTAAATTGTTTTCCTGTTTCCTGTCATACATATGCCTACTCGAGTTCTAACTTGTCTTTCTGTCTGAATCATTTACATCTCGAAAGAAGAGCAAAAACATGTCGTAAAAAATGTTTAGTACAGATTCATCCTTTATCCCTGTTCTTGCAATCGAAGGTGAAAAACTGTTGGTATAGGTGTTTGAATGCCAATGGAATTTGTGGATATTTGTTTGTTAAAACACTTCATAATTGCTTATAACAAACCAACATGTCAATGTAATGTCTTTTTTTTTTTTTTTTAAATTGTTCCTCTTATAATTTAAGTTTGGGACTTTGAGCCCAATTCAACCCGAAATCTAGCTCATGATGTGAGGATTGTTCCTCTTATAACTTGGGTTTGGGGCATACTCAAATTCTAACATGGTATCAAAGTCTATCCTGAATTAAAGATGATATAAAACTCCATCCTAGATCTAAGATGGTATCTGAGCCTAACCAAAATATATGGTTGCCTTCAAAAAATAACCAGAATTTTAGGTTTAACTTTGTGTTATTCGGAGAAATGTGCTTAGCATAATATCTTCCTTTGGAGTAGTTGGCCTTGGGAAAGTATGGATTGGATTTTTACAAGTATTGATAGCATGAAGGTGTCTTTACTTATCATGTTCCATGACATTATATTCCTTCCAAACCAATTCTATTTTTCAGTTGCTAAAATTCTTTTGGCTCGTTGGATTAACTCTTTTGACGTAGGATTTGGTAGTCCATCCATTGTGATGCCAAATAATTTTATTCACTTTTTCTCAACCAGTTGAGCGACTTAGTTGATGAAACTTCTATAGATGTGGACTGGAGGCGTTCATTTTACTTGAATTTAATTGCTCATACGTCATTCAGCGTAACTGTTGCAATTTGCAGGTACTGATTTTCTTTCCTTAATTTCCATGTCCACCATTGTGTTTCACCATCCTAATCTTTTAGGTGGTTTCACAACCATTCGGTCTGCCTTTTCTAAGATTTTATTTTTATCATGATCATATGCATGCATCAGTTGATTTTTGCAGAGTCCGCAGAGAATCAATCTCGAATTTGTTTTCTTAACTGTTACCAAGATAGATGAGTTGTATCATTGTATGATTGTATCATTATGTGTCCAATTCTCATCAGCAAGAATTCCTTTATGGCAATGATTGAAATATAAAAAACAAAAATAAAAAGGGTCTGAATATTTTTTGTTGTCCATACTCCATCATATTTTTTGTTGGATCATTATATTTTTAGATGTAAATATAATTGGAGTAACTTTGCAAATTGTGATTGAAATATTATGTGACTTTAAGAAGAAAAAATCTTGTATTTTTTATGGCCAAGAAAGGGTTTGCATAAACTTTACAAAGTCTTGCAATTTAGGGTAATTCACTTGTTCCTCATAATCATTTATCTAGGCAATTTGATTTGAGATATCTATTTCTCTAGTCAGCAGGATCTTCTTAACCATCGAGCTGGGCAGGATGCAGCTTTATCCCCTATATATAAGGTGAGTGTAGTATAATGAATCTATCTCCCAGTTAAATTATGCACACTTCATCTACTTGTAATTGTTTGTAAAAGATAATGTTCAATTTTGTTTTACTTTTTATCCTTTGTGTTATTTAATATCCATAAGTAAAATGAATTTAGTAATCTTGTGATATATTTCAACAATTTAGGGTTCAGATTTATAACCCGAGTCCCATTTTGGTGGAATGATGGTGAATCAGTTCCATCTTCAAGGTACTGCTTTGGCAGGTCTTGGACCTTAGTTTCTTCAATGGAGCTCTAGTTCTTTAGGGTTTATTCAGCCTCCACCCCAAATCTTCTAGTCCTGTCTTTCAGAGATCTGTTTAAATTGTTTTTATTTTGTTATTTTTTGTAGTGGCTAATTGCCATAACAAAACCCATTGGGATTGTCCAAAAAACCTGCATACATTTCCTGGTTGGACTTTTATTCTATGATGATGATTTTTGGTTTTAACGGATTGAAGATTCAAAAGTGTGACAGTGGGAGTGATAAATGATTTCTGTTATTGTGATGTTAATATATTCTTCTGCTATGTCTGTTCTTAATCTTGATTTTGACTTTCTAGACATTTGGATCAAGCGTTGCCTGGAACCATAGTCCTCTACCATTCCCATTTGTCACAAATTGTAACTTGAATTTAACTGTGTTGTAGTTGGTAATATTCCCTTGTATGTCCTACCCTGCTATATATTTTACCTCTTTCAATTTCTTTATTAGATTACTTATCTCCCTTTGAAATGGCTAAAGATTTGAGTATGCTGTTGTCTGTGACTGATTTTTCTGTTCATTTCCATGGTCAACCAATAGTTGGTGTTTTCATAGTTGTATTTTATTTGTAATTAAGGCTTTGTTCATGATTTTTGCCTGGAAGATCCCTTATTTTTGTGAAACTTTAAGCCAATGCTGTTCTATCTCAGTAGTATGTATACACTCAACAGTGGTGTCTAGGTAGTTTAAAATGTCTAAAACTCGAAATGTAAATACACATAATATCCTCTGATTTGGCAGTGTGTGGCCAATTGCACTTTCTCAGGTTGTGAAGACTGTTTATGCATCCCCAACTCGTGTTAATTTTCAATTGGACTCTAAAAAGGCAAGTATACCTATCTTTTTCTTTTATATTCTTAGGAAGAAAGAATGAATACTTTGTTTTTACATATTTTATAATTTTATTGACAATTAATTACACTGTCTTCAACATGTGTATAGGAAGTGGAAACGACTCCTGCTTATCCAGATATATGTTTTGCAATTGATGATTTTGACTCCACCTTTGATGCTGTGGTAATAAACTACTTTAGTAAGTTATTACATTTATAATCACATATTCATGTATGAAACGTTTATGCATATTCAATATCTTTTACGGTTCACATCTTCTAATTAAGTACATATGCGCCGCCTTATCTTGCATGTTTTTATTTACATGTGAAACTTCCACTTCCATTAAAAAAAATGTATACTAGTTACAGATTAATGGCTGCTCTTGTCAACTGCTGATGCTTATGTCGTTCATTCAGTGAAGAGCTGAAAATTTTGATTGATATTGATGCTAAATTCCTAATTCACATTGTCATGTTGTGTTATTTTCTGTCTGAATGCTTGCTCCTGGTTCATTGTTTTGACATGCCCCATATACAGGATTACACTTCATTGAATACCTATTGCATTCTGGGTCTGATCACTTCATAAAGTAAGTTTTGGTGATTTTTTCCCCCTGCAGGTTTTGACTGAAAAAGATCACTGCTATTGTGTAGTTCTAAATGCACATGATGGGGCAGCATTTCCAAGTGAAAAGGTGTCAAATGATTGTAGTACTAGTGGTAGCTCCTCTTTGGAAGTCCATTCTAGTTCTGCAAAGAAAAAAGATACAAAGGTTTGATTACTTCTTAGTTACTATATTGAATTTTGTTTTTAATTTTTGTTAATCTGGTTAGTTATTTCTATTAATAGTTTTTATTCATATGCTGCAATATATGGGCTGAATACTGCTTCTATGTGCTTTAATAATGAAATATGCAGCTGAATCAATTCTCACTTTTTGTAAATGGCTGTGTTAAGATATTGCTTGTACTTTATAATTGATATGTGAATTATTGTCTTTACATTTTGCTGATTACAGCTTGGACATTATAAGTTGAAACTATTCATACTTCATTCATATGTATCTGGTTTTTATAAAATCAAACTCAGTGACAAGAGGAACTTCAGTCTTAAACAGGTGGGTTTTTGTTGATTATAAAATCATTGTTTGCTGGACCTAATGTGACGGAACAACTAAAGTCAATATAGTATAACCATACCTGAAATCCATGCTAGTTCTTAACTGGCTTTTATATATTGGTCTGACCTCTTCAGAGATGCTCTCTTTTATCCGATTTATAGTAAAGTAAATGGAAATTTCAATTGTATCTAAACTTGGTTCCTTCTGCACCACTCAAAGATGTTTAAACATTATAACAAAGTCACTGTAATCATGCCTTTTTATGGACGGACGAAGTTATATTTTCAACATTGTTTGATGCATCTAAAAATAACTCTGAAATTAGTATGTCAACAAACAAACTAATGCAGAAGTTCTTAAGTAACTAACTCTTAAACATTCTGATTTTCTGGTATCCTCTATTTGCAGCTTACCCTATTCTCAGGATTTGTCAGCTACCAGATGGTTCGAGATGCATATGATGGTAATTTTTTAACAGTATCCTACATTTTGATTAGGGATCGTGAAGTGGATTGAAGCCGCTTATAATGACTGATATTGTGGGTTAGATGACTCAACCTGCCAAACCTCCGCATGTTGAAGGCTGGGTGGGTTGACCCACCTAACTAGGGGTGATTATAATATCCAGTTATAGAAAAGTTAACCATAACAATAATTAACCAGTTTTACAATCACTGATTAATTAAAAAATGGTTATAAAAATTAGCCATCTATGATAAATTAACTGGCCTAATCCACCCACCCTACCTAACCCACCAACATTTAAAGCATGTCAAAATAAATTTATATTGTTATATAATGAGATAATATGTACATGTATATAAAGTAAAATAAGTGATGTGTTAAAAATAGATGAATTGATATTTTTTAATACTTGTTTCTATCTTTGTCTTTTTTTTGGCGGGTTAATTTGCCTACCCACCATTTTATTTGATGGGTCAACCCACCTCTAAATGGTGGGCTTTTGTTTTCCAACCCCACTTCCTCTGGTGGAGCAACTCACACCACTTAAAATGGGGTTGGATCGGGTTGGACCGCTTTGCCCACCCCTACACTTTAGATATTTGCTTCTTTTATAAAGAAGCCTCGTTTTTTCAATGTCTTTTCTGCAGATTGAATGATTGGGATGGGGAAGTAGTTTTGCACATTAAACATTTTGGGTCACCAGAGTCACATATTTACAAAGACGTGTGGATGTGGATGTATCTTTTCTGGACTTGATTTGTCAGCGGTCTTTGGAATCTATGAAACTTTTACAACTCTAACTATTGCTGTGAAATTTTATTCATCCTTTCTGAAAAAAAAAACGGTGCCCAAATGATAATATTATAAATTCTATTGACAGATATTTTCATTGTAAAGTGGTTTAATGGATTAAGCTTTAGTAGTCTTCTCTGTTTTCTGCTTCTTTTAAAGAGAGTTTTCTCTCTTAAATGTGATGATGATACTTTATTGCCTTTATATAGGGAAATTCCACGAGCTCATTATGTTTGGTTTACATAGCTTATGTGTCATATGTGCTTCACACCATATATCTGTTGTCTCATCAGTCAGTTACATATATTCCCTCTTGCTGCAATGAAGCTGGCAGGTCTCGGTTTGGGAGTCTTTTATCGATTGGTCATTCTTCTGGCAAAACAGACAGGATTTACATGAAAGGTCCTGGAGGTCGAGGGGAAGTTGAAGTAGCTGTTTCTGGTGTTGCAGGTAGTAAACCTTTTTATGCATGGGATTTCCAAAATTTGTATTGACATGCCCCCCAGATTTTTGTATTATAAGTATAGGAGAACAGAATTTAGAGAAGAATATTATTGAAAAGCTAAACTACACATTGTGCGGTACGGTTACATATATAGAGAGAGTTACAACAAAGAGAATAACAAGACCTAACAGAAAAACTAACACAATACAACTAATAAAAGTATTTATTATTTATTCCCTAATACACTCCCCACAAGCTCAAGGGGGATGAAACACAATAGATGGGTTAACCACATTGAGTTTGGAAAGTAGAAACAAAAATCTTCTTGGTGACAAAGCCTTTGTCAGAACATCTGCATATTGATGTTGAGCGGGTATATGCGAAACAACTAGAGTTTTACTTAGCACCTTTTCTCTAACAAAAAAGATGTCTAGTTCCATATGTTGGATCTTGAGTGTAAGACTAGATTGTGAGATAAAGCAACTGTACTCTGATTGTCACAGAGCACTGTAGGAATATTTATTTTGACTTGCAATTCCTTTAGGAGAGATTGTATCCACAGAACCTCTGTGACAGCTTGAGCTAAAGCAACTGTACTCTGATTGTCACAGAGCACTGTAGGAATATTTATTTTGACTTGCAATTCCTTTAGGAGAGATTGTATCCACAGAACCTCTGTGACAGCTTGAGCTAAAGCAACTGTACTCTGATTGTCACAGAGCACTGTAGGAATATTTATTTTGACTTGCAATTCCTTTAGGAGAGATTGTATCCACAGAACCTCTGTGACAGCTTGAGCTAAAGCTTTGTACTCTGCTTCAGTGCTTGACCTGGCAACTAGCAGCTGCTTCTTGGACCACCAAGACACCAAGTTAGGGCCAAGATAAATACAAGCTGCTGAAGTGGATCTTTTTTCATTAGGATCACCTGCCCAATTAGCATCAGTAAAGACAGTAAGATTGAAGGGAGTAGTAGAAGTGGCAGAGGTGAACATCAATCCATGTCCAATAGTTCCTTTAAGATACCTAAGTATCCTTTTAACAACTTTCCAATGTTCCTCCATTGGAGAACACATAAACTGACTCACTTTATTGACACTGAAAGCAATCTCTGGCCGAGTAATTGTAGCATATTGTAGGGCACCAACAACAGATCTGTATAAAGTTGGATCATCAAACAATGTACCCTCCTTAGCAAGCTGCTGGCCACCAACCATAGGAGTTGGGGTTAGGTTTACCCATCATCGGAGACCCAACACTACTCCCTTCCTCACGATCATATTGAGAGCTTTTGAATGATCGTAGACGATGCCTGAGTTGTCCCTTGAGACTTGATTCTTCATATGCTTTCATGGCAGTCTTCATATGCGTCTTGTAGTTCATGTGCATCTCAAGTCTTGACCTTTGTCTGAACATTTTTCATTAATGCTTTTGTCTTCCTTTGGTCTAGTCAACATTGTAGATGGAAAGGCTTTGTTTCCGTCTGGAATGTCTTTCAGTCTGTGTTATCCTTCGTCTGATACGTGGTTGACTTTCTTCTGATTCTTGACCAATCTTCGTCCGAGTCTTTATGTTGCACTTTAGGTTGTGCTTGACACACCTATGTCTGATATTTGATTTATCATCATCTGGTGCATATTCCGTATTCCATCCATCATTTGATTTTGTTTCTTTTGATCTTCGTGCTGTGCTTTGCCTTGACTCATCTTGTCTGATATTTGATTTATTATCGTCTGGCGCACATGTTGTATTCCATCTATCATTTGATGCTCAATTTCCTCTATCATTTGTCTCGTCTATTATTTGGCTTTGTTTCGTCTGATCCTTGAAGTTGTCGTCTTGTTTGATATTTGTTTTGGCCTTTCATTTGATACTTCAAGACTTCGACCGGTAGTACGCTTCTTATATTTGCTGTCTTTTTGTCTGGCGCTTATGTCTTACTCTATCTATCATTTGACTTGCCTTGATCTGATCCTCGTGGTATGCTTTGCTTTGACTTATGGATTCGTGCTCGTCTATTTTTCTTTCTTTTCACAATATTGATGACTTTGTGTGCTTTTATATGAATGTAAACGATATATGATATTTCTCTTTGAACTTCAGACGTTTTTCAATATTCTTCGTTTGGATTTGGAATTTGAGTCTCTGTCTCTGAGAGATAGACTTTGACTTTTTCTTTCATCTGACCAGTGGTGAAAATGGAAGATTTTTAATTCTGTCTGAGATGATTCTTTGTCTTATGTCATCCATCGTCTGATACTCTTGTTGACTTTCGATTGATTGATCATTAGGCTTCTTCTAATGTTTGTGCGGACTTCATTTGGTGCTTAACCAAATGTTATCTTGTTCTTCATTTTGCCTGTACTTATGTTTTTTCTAAAACACTAATACACTTATTAGAAATAACAATATGTATTATATTTGTCTTATTCAAAACTTTGCTGGGAATTGTTTCGTTTGACTTAACAATACTTCATCAGAATCTTTGGATTGACAACAAATCGCTCAAGATCATGAGCACGAATGACAGCAGTGACCTGTTGCTGCCAGGTCATGAAGTTTTTCTCATCAAGTTTGCAGGTGACAGTCAAAGAGAAAGTGTTTGTGACACTGGCGAAAGTTTGAGTGGAGTTTGCAGGAGCGGAAGCCATTGGAATACAATTGAAGATACAAAAGAGTAATTTCAAGAATCAAAAAGAAAGGAGGCAAAACAGCGCCACAACAAGAAACACAACAAGATTACAAGATTGAAACAAATAGTGTTGTGAAATCAAACACAACAGAGGACAATGCAAGAAGGGCGCGATAGCAAAAAGAACACAAATTGGAGAATCGCACAGATCGCAACAGCGAGAAGAACGCTTCGTCGAAGATGACACAACGCGACTACGAGCACAACAGCGACAGAACGGACGCGACGGCAAGAGGATGTGACGGCGAGAGAGCTAGCCCAAGATCACACCGAACTCACAATGATACCATATAGGAGAACAGAATTTAGAGAAGAATATTATTGAAAAGCTAAACTACACATTGTGCGGTACAGTTACATATATAGAGAGAGAGTTACAACAAAGAGAATAACAAGACCTAACAGAAAAACTAACACAATATAACTAATAAAAGTATTTATTATTTATTCCCTAATAATAAGAATTAAGAAAATAAGATATTATAAAGTATGACTAAGCATTCATCATATGAAACATTTTTTACTTATTACTGTTTGTTTTATGGCTTATTTGATTGTTTATTAAATTTTATTCTGTCAGGATAGCAAGTACATTTACAGGGTATAGGGTTAAATACTTGATAGATGTGATCAAAATCTAGCGGCAATACCGTTTCTTGTTTGACTATTCTCGTCAAATATGTTGTGAAGCGTTTTGTGTGTTCCAATCTTATCATTTAAAAGGTAGATATAAAGATGGCTGAAATGGAATTTCTCTGTTGCAATGTCAGATCAAAGCCAGGAGGATTCAGGCCCATTTTCTCCAGTTATATCAAAGAAAGCATTTGGGCTTGGCGTAATTGTCCGCAGAGCAGCATCCGCGGCATCAGTGGCAGCAAGGCAAGCTTATGCAGCTGCCTCTTCCTCTAGCCCGAATTTTGATGAGTTGATACCTTTGAAATGCAGCTTAATGTCCATATCATTGCCCTGGGAATATATTGCGTATGATCTTCTGTTTAAGGTGAGGTTTTGCAGTTAGGGTTAAATGAAATGGTATATTGGCATTGCTTTTAGGAAAAATTTTCTTTGCATTTGGTATTGGCAATTTGCTTGGTTTGGGATTGTTGCTCTGATATAAAGGACTTGATTTTATTCTCGTTGCTACCCTTTGATTTTATTTCACTCTCACTTTGACAGTACTGATTATAATATTTTGACTGTCAATTTAGGGAGCTCCTCCAGTGACTATGTGACCATCCAATGTATCTGTGGGCGCTTGAAAATCGAAATGGAGATATCTGCGAACACACTATTTCTTAGTCATTAAATTCGTTTCTCTTCCGACATAGTTGCCTTTGGTGCATGTCGTGCGCACGTGCATGCTCAGAAATGTGCATATTTGGTGTTGGGTTGAGTATCCTGGGGTAATTTGTTGCAAATGGGTATAAATCTATATTAGTTGCTGTATATTTTGGATTATTGTAACTGCCACACTTCCAATTACCAGGTTCCTGATTAGGTATTTTTTAATTACTTTTGAAAAATTGTTTATACCTACCAAAGAAAAGATTAAAAAAAAAAAAAGTGAAAGAAACTGGTCGCCAGTCAAAGCTGAACTGCACGCAGGCAGCGATGGCCACTAAAAATGGGGCTTTTTAATAGATGAATTTATTTATGGAAAAGCATGTGTTATTCACTTTTGGTGTTGATCTTCATATATAACTTCATCCTTTGGTGTTAGTGCCAGCGATTTTATTTTTAATTTCAAATTGACAAATAAGCGAACCGGAAGGTTTTGCCCAGGGTTGTGTTGGTTAGTATTTATGATCGATCCACTCATCCACTGTTTATTCGTTGTTTATTTTTGAATAGCCACATAACCTTTCCATTAACTCATTTTTGTGAATATCTATCTGGTCTAATACGGGAAAAGTAATTCATTTAATTTTTATAGATAATAAATTATGTTATATTTCTTCTATTTTAAATCTTTTGTCTATTTAGCCTTTTTAATCTACGTTTTAGAGTTTTTAGTTTTTTTCTCTAAATTATTTCCTTATTTAGTAGACATTTTCTTTATCTAATGAGATAACGAAGTTGAGATAATAAAATATTAAATAATAATATTTTAATCTAAGTTTGCATATCTATTTTCTTAATATATTTACATTAATTTGAAACAATTAAAGATCTGAGATGATGGGATAGTTATTTTTCTAATGTATATTTTTCCTATATAATATAGTATTGTGATATAAATAAATAAAAAATGTCAATTATTTGTATTCTGTTGCCTCATGTGCAATGGTTTGTTCAATTTATTTATTTATTTATTATTCTTATTATTATTATTATTATTATTATCTAAGGGAGGAAATAATTTTTTTTTGATAACTTGTAAATCTTAATATATATTAATTGATGTAGATGATAAAATAATGGCCATTTTTCCGGTCAAGACATAAAGAAATTAACTTGAAAATATTAAAATAATGGAGATTATGGGCTGAACAAATAAAATAACGATATGATTAGTGAAGTTCATTTTGTTTTAGAAAAACAATTTTTTTTTAATAATTTTTCTCACGAAATCATATAAAAAAAATATCTTATACTAAATTACTAGTTCAGACAATACTTGTCACTTGGAGTCTGTATTCTGATGAGACAATTGACATTGTACATTATATGATCAACCATACAATATACTCTGGGCATTTGATATAGTTAGATACATTAAATGTATGAATATTGATCATTGTATCACATACTTCACGTGTATAATCTTCTAGTATTAAAATGTATTTTCAATTTAATTTAATAGCATAATTTATTTTCTTTATCGCATGCAAATGATACAATATATTATATTCTTCACGACTAAGTTCATTGTAAACCCCTTCCTTTCGTCATCATATACACGTTTCAGTCACTTATCTAAGTGTTACGAATAATTGTACTTTTCTTGACCAAATAATTCCGCATCTTTCAACAAATATATGTAATTAATTTCTCCCTAAATCGGATTAGTCTCGTAGCTAAAGACCAGTATAAAAGTATTTTATCATTATCAAAGACCCCAAAATTGTGTCTAACTCTTTCCTTAAGTTTGTCTTGCAGTTTCTTCTAACGATTTGCGAAGAGAAGCCAACAAATTAAAAAATAATAGTAATAATTGGGGGACAAACTATACGATGATACTTTACACGAGGAATGAGCCTTGTGGTTTGATGCATCCTTCCCTGTGTGTTGGAGATTTGTTCCCTATTGTCTAAAGAAGCAAAAGCTACATGAGATGTGGTTGCGAATTTGCAATGTCATTGCGGCCACAACCGAAGTAAAAGCAAAGGAAAGAGGACAGTGGCAAAGGCTAAAGAAGAAGCACCTAATTTGTACTATTCTTTTTTCCATTACATTTACTTGCACATGCAACCTACTTTAGCAACCTAAAAAAAGAGATTGCTTAATTATCTTTTCCCATCATTTAATTAATCAAGGTTAACCAAAATGGCAACACAAGTGATTGCATGTTATCCTCCACTCAACACTATGCCACTTTAATAGTCCAGGGAACCAACTGCCAACCAATACAAAATTGCCCAAATTATAAGAAGCCTCAACTAAGAAAACTACCCAAGAATATTCTTTCAATTGTGTAATGAATATGTTGAAAGTCATATATCATATCATATATTTATAGCAATGTCCATCAATCTTTGCTATGGTTGGGCTAGTTCGTGTTACTTTGGAAAAATTAGTGGGGAAACTGGTTATATTTTACATAGACAAATGTACTCGATATGATTAAATCACCAAATGGATGGGTGTATGAACGCATCTACGTCTCCATCTACATTTGATAACTCGATTCATCGTGAATTTTGCTTTACCTTATCTTATCATCTGCTTTTTTATTTTCACCTCTACACACTTTAAATCAGCCACTAGCTTTCGTATATTTGTTTATATCCCTCATCTTGACAATTCTGTTACTTGATATGTACGAGTAATTCACTTTTTTGCAAGAGATGTCCATTGGTTGTTTAGACAATGTGTGATTGCAAATTTAACTATGGTTTTGTTTGGAAAAACTTATGAGAAACTTATTTTATTTATTTTATTCTATAAATATTTATGAAAGTGTTTAAACAAACTTATAAAATATTTTATGAATAATTTACAAGATGTTTTGAATTTATATTGATAAGTTATTTAGCATAATTATTTACTTGCTTAAGTGAGAGTTTCGTCAGAAATTCTCAAATTTGAATTCAATTATCAACGTAAATAATTTTATTTTTATTTTTTATTTTTTCACTAAAAATCAGTTATATATATTTTTTCATTATACTCTCCAAAGGTTTTCATTTCCCCCTCCAAAAAATTTTGTTCTTCTTTAAATTTTTTTTCCTTCTCCATTTTTTTTTTATCTCTTTCTCCAAAATTCACATTACCCTATTATAAAAAAATCTTGTAACTTTTTTTCCCTCTAAAGAAGCACATATGGAATAATTTTGTTGTTAACATTAATACAATATTTTTTAATAATGATTTTATAAAATATATAGAATTAATTTTTAACTTTTAAAATTTATGGTTCTTAATTTTTAATCATGGTTATATATATAA